ATATATTAGCACTGATACACATATTCTTTGATAGGAACTAACCCCGGGGCAATCACAATACTGTCAATGTGATCAAAAACTTAAACCTGTGATAATGAAACAGATAATATTAACGATTTAAGCGTAGGGCGATAAGAAGTTAGAATGAGATTATATATTGGAAATAATTCCAAGTAGCTTCTGATAAATAGCAATGGAAGATTTCAGGCCGGTCAGCATTTTTTGCTAGCTACCGTAGCGATATTAATCCGATAAGAAATATTCAATACTTATATTTATTTGTTAAAAAGTTAAAATTAATCAAGTATAATTTTAAAATTTGTTTTATATGATACTATTTATTGTAAATAAAATTAATATAGACATATTTGCATGTATGGTTAATGTCTTAGAAAAAAAGAAGAACTTTTTTTTAGCCATAAGTAAAATTCCTCGAATCATCACGTTCTCGAACGAAAGACGAAAAACAATTTTTCAAAAAAACATAAAACTTAAATCATAGCAATGCAATGTCTGGCCCAGAAATTTGTAGCAGAAAAACTTAGGGGGTAAAACAAAATTAGCTAAAAGATAACTGCCTATTCATGACATTTGCATTTTGCATTTATTTGATTGATGTCATGTGCACCCATGCGGAACTCCACATCACGCCAATCGAATACTCCTTTTGCTTAGCTCAGTATGATTTTTTTTGTTTAATTTTACATCGACAGTCATTTTTCTGCCAAAATCTAGAAGAAACTGAAAACAGACAAAATGCTGAGCTTCCAGTCTGCTCTTCAAATGGAGAGAACAGAACGCAAGTGCACTATGGAAACTCAATTTGAGAGAAAGAAAACCTGTGACTGATACAGATTGGGAATTTGCGTGGGTAGGAATCAAGGTTACAATAGTGAAAGAATGAGAGCATGAAAAAGTATAGACAAGTAGTCAAGGAAGAGAATACAGATATACCTTATAATTACATTACTATTTTAAAATTCTTGGACACCTTCTTAAAGGTGGTCATCGACGAAACAATGAATCAGCATTGCTGTCTTCCAAACCTGCTTAGTTAGATTGGATTACAAAGGCAAAGATCTGGTGCCACACATACGGTCATCTGGCTGTAGTCAAAAAGCG